CTAGCTAGCTGCATAAGCAGTTTAGCAGTTACAATGGCGGGCCCTGTTAAACTAGCTAGCTGCATAAGCAGTTTAGCAGTTACAACGGCGGGTCCTGTTAAACTAGCTAGCTGCGTAAGCAGTTTAGCAGTTACAATGGCGGGTCCTGTTAAACTAGCTAGCTGCGTAAGCAGTTTAGCAGTTACAACGGCGGGCCCTGTTAAACTAGCTAGCTGCATAAGCAGTTTAGCAGTTACAACGGCGGGCCCTGTTAAACTAGCTAGCTGCATAAGCAGTTTAGCAGTTACAACGGCGGGCCCTGTTAAACTAGCTAGCTGCATAAGCAGTTTAGCAGTTACAACGGCGGGCCCTGTTAAACTAGCTAGCTGCATAAGCAGTTTAGCAGTTACAACGGCGGGCCCTGTTAAACTAGCTAGCTGCGTAAGCAGTTTAGCAGTTACAACGGCGGGCCCTGTTGGCAATAAATTAATAAAACCAAAAGCTTACCTTGACTTTGAAGAGTTCCAGTGTTGGATAGCCATAGCCAGCTAACTAACATAGCATCCCTCTCTGTTTGAGCCGGGTGTTTGAGTAGGCTAAACTAGCTAGCTGCATTTGCTACCTAAGTGAAAGTGAAAAAATACTACCAAATATCTCTCTCTCTCTCCCCCCTCCCTCCCTCTCTCTCTCTCTCTCTCTCTCTCTTTGAGTCAACTACTCACAACATTTTATGCACTGCAATGCCAGCTAGCTGTATCTTATACCTTCAGTACTAGATTCATTCTCTGATACTTTGATTGGTTGGACATCATGTCAGTTCATGCTGCAAGAGCTCTGATAGGTTGGAGGACGTCCTCTGGAAGTTGAGGTTTTATATTGAAGTCAATGTACCCAGAGGAGGACAGAAGCTAGCTTCCCTACAGAGTGCTGTTGAGGCTACTGTAGACTTTGTTGGGAGAGGGCTCGTAAGTAAGCATTTCACGGTAAAGTCTACACCTGTTGTATTCGGCGCATGTGACAAATAAAATTGTATTTGATTTATGTCCAATATCAAAAAATATTGAAGCTGATTGGCCACTCTTTAAGGGCCGCAGAATGAGCAGCGACGCTCATCTGGGTGTACAATCTGTGGATTGTCAGAAGTCAGAAGTCCTCCTGATTTGAATGGACCCCCATTTTACTGCGACACAAAGTACAGGGAATTGTGTACAGTCCAATATGTATGTCCAATATGAAAAGGATGTCACTCCACGAACACTCCGTCTACCGTCCCTTAACGCACTGTGACATAATGATCCACCACCCTGGGACGCAGCGGGGAATTACATTGGCAGATATCCTCCTCGGTATGGGGAAAATTACCGAGGAGGAATTCTACCATTGCTGTGCGGTGGATGAGGGCTGGAGTCCGGAGCAGCGGCACCGTCGACCAGGGAAACGTCGGCAGGCCAGAAAGGCTAAGGACCAGCCTGGAGCCCAGAAGAACCCCCAAACTATTTGTTTTGGGGGGAGGGGGGGGGCTATGGGGGTGGTCAGGGATCGAGGGAGAAGAGCCCCGACCACTGCACTCGTGGGGGTTCCAGGAGGAGCCCCTACAACCATGGGAGCAGGAGTACACAGAGGAGTCGGAGGAAGACGACGATGTGCTTCTGTTCCCTCACTCGTGGGGGCTCCCGGAGGAGTCCTCACAGGATGGAGATTGGCGGTGGAGAGAGAAAGACAGGAGCAGTCGTAGATCTCCAACACCAGTTCCCAGTCCGGTGCCTCCAGCGCCGGTCCAGAGTCGATCACGGAAAATGCCGACTCAGCGCACCACACCATCGGTGCGCACCAACAACTCGAGACGGCCCGTGTCGACTCAGCGCACCACACCATCGGTGCGCATCCACAGCCCGGAACGGCCAGTTCCAGCTCGACGCACCAACCCGATGGTGCGTGTCTCCAGCCCGGTACGGCCTGTGCCTGCTCCTCGCACCAGACCTCCAGTGACGGTCCTCTGCACGGAGCCTCCAGCGACGGTCCCCTGCAAGGAGCACCTTAGCGTGTCGGTGCCCAGTCTGGGGCTGGCAGCCAGCCTAACCACGGGGCTGGAATCCTCCTCTGCGTCGGTGCCCAGGCTGGGCACGGCATTCAGCCCTGCTCCAGAGATGGGGATGGATATGGGTCCGGAAGTCTACTTCGTCCCCATGCCAGAGCAGTCCGCTCTAACGGTGCCTGGTCTGGGTCCGGCCGTCTGCTCCGCTCCAGTGATGGGGACAGTACGCTCCACCGGTGCCAAGTCCTGTTCCGGTCAGCCGCTCTACTCCAGTGCTGGAGCAGTCCGCTCCACCGGTGCTTAGTCCAGCTCCGGTCATCTGCTCCACTCCAGAGCCAGGGAAGTCCGCTCCACCGGTAACCAGTCCGTGCACGGTCGTCTACTCCGCCCCCATGCCGGAGCCATCCGCTCCACCGGGGTCCGAGCCGGGACCAGACGTCAGCCCCACACCAGGGTCCAGACAGGGCTTGGTGCATCGCGGGAGGACTGAGGGAGGACAGCTGTCTAGAGTTAGTCTCTGATTGGGGATAGTATTTACATTTTACATTTTAGTCATTTAGCAGACGCTCTTATCCAGAGCGACTTACAGTTAGTGAATACATATTTTTTTATACTGGCCCCCCGTGGGAATCGAACCCACAACCCTGGCGTTGCAAACGCCATGCTCTATCAACTGAGCTACATCCCTGCCGGCCATTCCCTCCCCTACCCTGGACGACGCTGGGCCAATTGTGCGCCGCCCATGAGTCTCCCGGTCGCGGCCGGGGCTGGAATCCTCCTCTGAGTGGCACAGTTAGCACTGCGATGCAGTGCCTTAGACCACTGCGCCACTCAGGAGTACGAGTATTTAGGCACCTCTCACATCCACCTGTGTGTGGATCATTGTTTGTGCTTGTGTCTGTCTGCGATTGTGTTCACGGCACGTATGTCACTTGGTGCTTTTTTCCTTGTTTATTTTGAATACTTATAGGTGTGACAAGTTTAAATAAAAAAGGATGTCACTCCACGAGCGCTTCGTCTACCGTCCCTTAACTACGCACTGTGACAACAACAATGGTATTTAAATGTGTTATCTGAAGTGGATAATTATAATTATAATACAATTATTATAATAAATGATTTACTATTGTTATTAATAGTAATATTATAAATGACGTTTTGTTATTCGTATTACTGTTGTTACCATAACATAATCACTTTCAAGTGGTCATTACTCTTAATGCTGTTATCAATAATGTCAATGCTGTAATATTATTTGTGCTATAAAGACAATTAACTGTTACCATTTCCTCATAAAATATTACGAATGATAGAAACCCTCTTTATTATTATTGTTTGTTTGCATAATTATTTCTATATAGCTACACTTTCTTGCTCTGAACTTCTAACAAGAGTGGGGGCGGGTGTGGCTTCTTGACAATGATTGCAAGAGCAGCTGCTCACCGATTTGACGTCTCCAACACTGCCAAAACATCCCCTATGTGGGTGTCTGCTATTGCCGGTTAACACGTTATTGCCTTTATCAGGAAGGACTGATTGCAGTCCTCTAAGGAAATTCTGATTCATTTCCCCAGAAATAGTTCAATCAATGCTCTAAATAAAGGCCAGGGGGATTAATGAGTTTTTCCATTTTGTCAGACAGTTCCTCCTTGGTAACATTATCTGCAGTCATCAAGTGGATTTCTTTTGGGGTATTCTCATTGTACTCAGAACCTTTTCATCTTATCTTTCACTAAACGACACGTGTTTGAAAAAACTGATTATTCAGCAAAATTGGTGCAAACAAGCTTGTCTGAGATTCATTCTTTTCCTTTGCCTGATACAAACGAATATATTTTCTTCTTAAGTTTATTATCTTTTAAGACGCACCTTTTGAGGTGTACATAGTTAAAAACCTTAAAAACAAAAAACAGTTTGTTAAAAAATGATAGGAAACCAGAACATCACAAATGATCAAATTTAGTCATTGCTAATAAGTTGATGATATCATTTTCCACTAACCATTATAGCCCAGTATTTTGTGACAATCTGCACATTTCTGTAATATGCATGAAATAAAGAGAGAGAGAGAAATTTGTTGACAGCATGGAAAACTTGAGTTGATAGGAGGACAATAAATTGATGTCGTCATTCATGATCTTCCAACACTAATGATACTTGCTAGTACCTGACTTACTCTGTAGCCAATTAGAGTTTTAGTGCTGTAATATAATGCACCAGAAGGTAAAAGTTGATTCCACTGTAGTCGTAAACTTCACACGTGTAAAACAAACAAGCATTGTAACAGATCAGTAGGCAGATAACGTCAGACAACTTCCAGTGAAAAGAAGTTTCACGCTTAAGTATGACGAGCATCTGAAAGCGTGCAACATCCGTTTCGTAAGAATCCTTGATCACATTGGTGTGTACTGTACAATACAAAACAGTGGTAAATGGAGCCTGCCTTTTTCCATCTGAGGACATCTACCAATAAAGTTTCTGTACAAATTCAAATGGCATTCTACTTTACATAGCCATATAATATAGCCTAGTTCCTGGAAGAGGACAGCATGTAATATACAAGTATAGATACCCAAACAGAAACATTCAAAAGATGATCAGGTTGAATACGGTTATTTCCATGTTGACGAGTTCCTCTTTCTCAATGGGTATTTTGAGGTAGCGGGCTGCTAGTGAGCAGTTCCACTGGCAGCACCTGTAAAGTCCTTACAGATCTTCTTCTGTACTTAAATATATTTTGATAATAACGTCTTACATCTTAACCAGTGACCATCCCTTCGTGTCACACAGACTGCATTTCATAAACTTGGGGAGGTTTTGTTGGGGAGAAATCCATGGTGGTTTCCACTTGTCCCCTTGTTAATCTCTGCAGGACATAGGGCAGGATTTTACTTCCTTGAAGAGAGAGAGAGGTACATGGCATAGAGGTCCAGCTTACACCGACAAAAAAAAGTAGAGACATTTAGTCAAAAAACATTTTCCTCAGAATGATTCAGAGTTTTCTAATTTGCGGCTGTATCCCGAGGGGAGCTATGGTTCTTTCACCGCTGTTTCAAAGTCATCTGATATAGTGAGTAAGAAAGCATTTGAGGAGATATTTAGATGAAAGAGTTAGAGGTCACAGGTCACAGGTCATGATAAGTAAAGCTACGTATGCACATGGACAAAAGTATTTTACCAAACCTGGCAATATGCCCAGACAGTTGTGAATCTGTAAAATATAACAAACTGTACTTTTCCTCTGATTCATTCTGAGGAAAATGTTATTTGACACAAAATGTATCTCCTTTTGCAGCTTATGAAAACCTTGGTGCCTTGGAACATAACAGGTGCTTCTCAAATTACATGTTAGATGTCACTAATGGAACAGCTAGTGCAATTGAAAAGGTCAACTTTACCTTTCCTTATCATAGTTCAACGTCAAACACGGTCTTTTTGGGGATAGAAACTGGTGGAGTAGTTTTGAATTCAGGTATCATTGTTAGTGCACAGGGCTGTTAGACTCTTCTACTTTCTCAGAGAAAACAACAAGGCAGAAAATGATGTGTGGCTACATTTGTTTACTCAACTGTTTTCCAACTTGTCAGAAACTGAAATGAATAAGGTAAGTCGTTTTATTATATTTTACAGATTCACAACTGTCTGGGCATATTCCCAGGTTTGGTAAAATACTTGTGCAATGCAAGTTCATATGTGGCTTAACGTCTACGGGATCGGGGTTCCTATACCGGGACGGTTGCTGCTCAATATGCGATACGTGACTAAAATGGCATCGTAAACAACAACAAGTTTCCGGGACATAGACGTCAAAAAATTAAATAATAATAATAATAACGGCAGAAGGCTTAAATTCTTGTTAATCTAACTGCAGTATTCAATTTACAGTAGCTATTACAGCAAAATGATACCATGCTATTGTTTGAGGACAGTGCACAACAACAAAACTCTTTTGTCACGGCAACTGGTTTGATACACTCACCTCCGAAGGTAAATAATGTATAGTAATCAGTAATCTTGCTCTGATTTGTCATTCTGAGGGTCCCAGAGATAAAATGTAGCATAGCTTTGTTTGATAAAATCCATTTTTATATTCAAATGTAGGAACTGGGTTCTACAGTTTGACCCCCTGCTGTCTCTGGAGGGGTGGAACCAGCCATGAATAAGCATTTTAGATGTACTATGTAAAGAACTCTAAATGTTCTGTATGTCAGAGCTCTCAGCCCAAGAGTGTTGGGTTGACCAGCCTCATTACTGCAGTAATTCATCGATGTTAAATAAAATAATATCCTGATTGGGTGATTGACCTTGTCTCTCCTCATTATTGATTAAAATGTCCACGACAAACCGCTAATGAGAAGGCTGTAGATGCTGTCTATCACTTGGGGTATCCCATCATACAGGGAGCTGTGTCTACTATTTTAGGAGTGGTGGTGCTGTCTGCAGCTGAGAGCTACATCTTCAGAACCTTCTCAACGATCATGTTCTTGGTCATTTCATTTGGGGTACTTCACGGCATCGTGTTCATCCCTGTGTTTCTGACCTTCTTTGGAAGTCGTGGATGGTAGGCCTAACACCTTGACTCAAAGGGGACCCAATCAATGGGTGATTCCAACATAAAGAATATGCATGGGGTGAGGGCTGTAGCAACTAGTTACATCGGTTCCAAACAAAGCTCCCATTATTCTACACATATCAGTGGAAACACTAATAGCCCTGAGGACGCTGAGGACTGTCCCTCAAACCGGTGTCTTTAGGCCAGCTTTACTTAGCATGGCCGCTGCACCTGTTTTTGTTTTTTTTGTTTTTTTTGTTTTATGGAATGAATTCAATATGAAAGCTAGATAAAAGGGTAAAATAATGTACACATACAGTGGGGAAAAAAAGTATTTAGTCAGCCACCAATTGTGCAAGTTCTCCCACTTAAAAAGATGAGAGAGGCCTGTAATTTTCATCATAGGTACACGTCAACTATGACAGACAAAATGAGAAAAAATAATCCAGAAAATCACATTGTAGGATTTTTAATGAATTTATTGGCAAATGATGGTGGAAAATAAGTATTTGGTCAATAACAAAAGTTTCTCAATACTTTGTTATATACACTTTTTTGGCAATGACACAGGTCAAATGTTTTCTGTAAGTCTTCACAAGGTTTTCATACACTGTTTCTGGTATTTTGGCCCATTCCTCCATGCAGATCTCCTCTAGAGCAGTGATGTTTTGAGGCTGTCGCTGGGCAACACGGACTATCAACTCCCTCCAAAGATTTTCTATGGGGTTGAGATCTGGAGACTGGCTAGGCCACTCCAGGACCTTGAAATGCTTCTTACGAAGCCACTCCTTCGTTGCCCGGGCGGTGTGTTTGGGATCATTGTCATGCTGAAAGACTCAGCCACGTTTCATCTTCAATGTCCTTGCTGATGGAAGGAGGTTTTCACTCAAAATCTCATGATACAAGGCCCCATTCATTCTTTCCTTTACACGGATCAGTCGTCCTGGTCCCTTTGCAGAAAAACAGCGCCAAAGCATGATGTTTCCACCCCCATGCTTCACAGTAGGTATGGTGTTCTTTGGATGCAACTCAGCATTCTTTGTCCTCCAAACATGACGAGTTGAGTTTTTACCAAAAAGTTATATTTTGGTTTCATCTGACCATATGACATTCTCCCAATCCTCTTCTGGATCATCCAAATGCACTTCAGACGGCCTGGACATGTACTGGCTTAAGCAGGGGGACACGTCTTGCACTGCAGGATTTGAGTCCCTGGCGGCGTAGTGTGTTACTGATGGTAGGCTTTGTTACTTTGGTCCCAGCTCTCTGCAGGTAATTCACTAGGTCCCCCCGTGTGGTTCTGGGATTTTTGCTCACCGTTCTTGTGATCATTTTGACCCCACGGGGTGAGATCTTGCGTGGAGCCCCAGATCGAGGGAGATTATCAGTGGTCTTGTATGTCTTCCATTTCCTAATAATTGCTCCCACAGTTGATTTCTTCAAACCAAGCTGCTTACCTATTGCAGATTCACTCTTCCCAGCCTGGTGCAGGTCTACAATTTTGTTTCTGGTGTCCTTTGACAGCTCTTTGGTCTTGGCCATAGTGGAGTTTGGAGTGTGACTGTTTGAGGTTGTGGACAGGTGTCTTTTATACTGATAACAAGTTCAAACAGGTGCCAGTAATACAGGTAACGAGTGGAGGACAGAGGAGCCTCTTAAAGAAGTTGTTACAGGTCTGTGAGAGCCAGAAATCTTGCTTGTTTGTAGGTGACCAAATACTTATTTTCCACCATAATTTGCAAATAAATTCATAAAAAATCCTACGATGTGATTTTTTGGAATTTTTTTCCTCAATTTGTCTGTCATAGTTGACGTGTACCTATGATGAAAATTACAGGCATCTCTCATCTTTTTAAGTGGGAGAACTTGCACAATTGGTGGCTGACTAAATACTTTTTTTCCCCACTGTAGATTTAGGAGAGGGAATAAGCCATTATCCGTTATGTAAAGTGTAAATAAGGTTTAGGAGAAGGAATAAGCCATTATCCATTATGTAAAGTGTAAATAAGGTTTAGGAGAAGGAATAAGCCATTATCCATTATGTAAAGTGTAAATAAGGTTTAGGAGAAGGAATAAGCCATTATCCGTTATGTAAAGTGTAAATAAGGTTTAGGAGAGGGAATAAGCCATTATCCGTTATGTAAAGTGTAAATAAGGTTTAGGAGAAGGAATAAGCCATTATCCATTATGTAAAGTGTAAATAAGGTTTAGGAGAAGGAATAAGCCATTATCCATTATGTAAAGTGTAAATAAGGTTTAGGAGAAGGAATAAGCCATTATCCATTATGTAAAGTGTAAATAAGGTTTAGGAGAAGGAATAAGCCATTATCCATTATGTAAAGTGTAAATAAGGTTTAGGAGAAGGAATAAGCCATTATCCATTATGTAAAGTGTAAATAAGGTTTAGGAGAAGGAATAAGCCATTATCCGTTATGTAAAGTGTAAATAAGGTTTAGGAGAGGAAATAAGCCATTATCCATTATGTAAAGTGTAAATAAGGTTTAGGAGAGGGAATAAGCCATTATCCATTATGTAAAGTGTAAATAAGGTTTAGGAGAAGGAATAAGCCATTATTCATTATGTAAAGTGTAAATACGGTTTAGGAGAAGGAATAAGCCATTATCCATTATGTAAAGTGTAAATAAGGTTTAGGAGAAGGAATAAGCCATTATCCGTTATGTAAAGTGTAAATAAGGTTTAGGAGAAGGAATAAGCCATTATCCATTATGTAAAGTGTAAATAAGGTTTAGGAGAAGGAATAAGCCATTATCCATTATTTAAAGTGTAAATAAACACATTCATGTTTTTAGCTTTGTTTTATTTCATTTGGCTCTATATAAAAGAATTATGTTTGATCCATACAGTAGTAATATGATGGTATGCATCTACAAAATAACCCATTATAAATCACATATCAATCATTGATGATGTATTGTATTTCAATCCCTAAATCATTGAACAAAATGTCCACATATGTAGGTCACATAAGACACAAACGTAGGTCATATTTTCATTGTTTCTGTCATTTATTTTGTGTCATGTAGAAGTAACATAAAATCAAATGTTAATTGATTTTTATTTAGTTTACTCTATTTGTGAAATATTGCCTTCATTGTAATAAGTTTAAGAATGAAGAAGTTTCTGTTGTGTTTTTAAATAAATAAATGAAGTAATTTCTCATTCTGTGTTTATTGTCCTACATTAGAAGTAGTTGCATTTTCTGATGATACATTTAGATAGCAAGAATGACTAGAGTGTTCTAAATGATAGATTGTTGCCAACATGTATGGCCTATACATTTGTTAAGATGTTAGATGCAAATGCAGAATAATTGCATACATTTTAAATACAAGTATTATTATCATTTCCAAGTCAATTACTTCCACACTTTTGTTATTTCATTTTTTATTTTAGTCTACTCTGAGGCAATGAAATAGCTAACAAGGTAGTCGGCATACCACAGCAGATCAAGACAGTTCATTCCTAAATCAGAGTTTGTCAGATGTTTTAAGACATCAAAAGGCCATCTGTTGTACAGTGCCTTCGGAAAGTATTCAGATCACTTGACTTTTTCCACATTTTGTTACATTACAGCTAAAATGACGACAAACCAAAAGAATCTCAGCAATCTACACACAATACCCCATAATGACAAAGCGAAAACCGTTTTTTTTATTAATTTGAGCAAATATATTAAAAGTTATAAACAGAAATACTGTATTTCCATAAGTATTCAGACCATTTGCTATGAGACTCGAAATTGCGCTCAGGTGCATCGTGTTTCCATTGATCATCCTTGAGATTTTTCTACAACTTGATTGGAGTCCACCTGTGGTAAATTCAATTGATTGGACATGATTTGGAAAGGCACACACCTGTCTATATAAGGTCCCACAGTTGACAGTGCATGTCAGAGCAAAAACCAAGCGATGAGGTCGAAGGAATTGTCCGTAGAGCTGCGAGACAGGATTGTGTCGAGGCACAGATCTGGGAAGGGTACCAAAACATTTCTGCAGCATTGAAGGTCCCCAAGAACACAGTGGCCACCATCATTTTTAAATGGAAGAAGTTTGGAACCACCAAGGCTCTTCCTAGAGCTGGCCGCCCAGCCAAACTGAGCAATCGGGGGAGAAGGGCCTTGGTCAGGGAGGTGACCAAGAACCCGATGGTCACTCTGACAGAGCTCTAGAGTTCCTCTGTGGAGATCGGAGTACCTTCCAGAAGGACAACCATCTCTGCAGCACTCCACCAATCAGGCCTTTATGGTAGAGTGGCCAGACGGAAGCCACTCCTCAGTAAAAGGCACATGACAGCCCACTTGGAGTTTGCCAAAAGGCACCTAAAGGACTCTCAGACCATGAGAAACAAGATTCTCTGGTCTGATTAAACCAAGATTGAACTCCTTGGCCTGAAGGCCAAGCGTCACGTCTGGAGGTAACCTGGCACCATCCCTACGGTGAAGCATGGTGGTGGCAGCATCATGCTGTGGGGATGTTTTTCAGTGGCAGGGACTGGGAGACTAGTCAGGATCGAGGCAAAGATGAACGGAGTAAAGTACAAAGCAATCCTTGATGAAAACCTGCTCCAGAGCGCTCAGGACCTCAGACTGGGGCAAAGGTTCACCTTCCAACAGGACAACTACCCTAAGCACACAGCCAAGACAACGCAGGAGTGGCTTCGGGACAAGTCTCTGAACGTCCTTGAGTGGCCCAGCCAGAGCCCGGACTTGAACCCGATCTAACATCTTTGGAGAGACCTGAAAATCGCTGTGCAGCAATGCTCCCCATCCAACCTGACAGAGCTTGAGAGGATCTGCAGAGAAGAATGGGAGAAACTCCCCAAATACAGGTGTGCCAAGCTTGTAGCGTCATACAGTGCCTTGCAAAAGTATCCCCTTGGCGTTTTTCCTATTTTGTTGCATTACAACCTGTAATTTAAATGGATTTTTATTTGCATTTCATGTAATGGACATACACAAAATAGTCAAAATTGGTGAAGTGAAATGAAAAAAATAACTTGTTTCAAAAAAGTGCTGCATGCATATGTATTCACCCCCTTTGCTATGAAGCCCCTAAATAAGATCTGGTGCACCCAATTACCTTCAGAAGTCACATAATTAGTTAAATAAAGTCCACCTGTGTGCAATCTAAGGGTCACATGATCTGTCACATGATCTCAGTATATATACACCTGTTCTGAAAGGCCCCAGAGTCTGCAACACCACTAAGCAAGGGGCATCACCAAGCAAGTGGCACCATGAAGACCAACGAGCTCTCCAAACAGGTCAGGGACAAAGTTGTGGAGAAGCACAGATCAGTATTGGGTTATAAAAAAATATTAGAAACTTTGAACATCCCACGGAGCACCATTATATCCATTATTAAAAATTGGAAAGAATATGGCACCACAACAAACCTGCCAAGAGAGGGCCGCCCACCAAAACTCACGGACCAGGCAAGGAGGGCATTAATCAGAGAGGCAACAAAGAGACCAAAGATAACCCTGAAGGAGCTGCAAAGCTCCACAGCGGAGATTGGAGTATCTGTCCATAGGACCACTTTAAGCCGTACACTCCACAGAGCTGGGCTTTACGGAAGAGTAGCCAGAAAAAAAGCCATTGCTTAAAGAAAGAAATAAGCAAACACGTTTGGTGTTCGCCAAAAGTCATGTGGGAGACTCCCCAAACATATGGAAGAAGGTACTCTGGTCAGATGAGACTAAAATTGAGCTTTTTGGCCATCAAGGAAAAAGCTATGTCTGTTGCAAACCCAACACCTAGATGTGCCAAGCTTATATAGCCAAAGAGACTTGCAGCTGTAATTGCTGCAAAAGGTGGCTCAACAAAGTATTGACTTTGGGTGGGTGAATAGTTATGCACGCTCAAGTTTTCTGTTTTTTTGTCTTATTTCTTGTTTGTTTCACAATATAAAATATTTTGCATCTTCAAAGTGGTAGGCATGTTTTGTACATCAAATGATACAAACCCCCCAAAAATCAATTTTAATTCCAGGTTGTAAGGCAACAAAATAGGAAAAATGCCAAGGGGGGTGAATACTTTCGCAAGCCACTGTACCCAAGAAGACTCGATGCTGTAATTGCTGACAAAGGTGCTTCAACAAAGTACTAAGTAAAGTGTCTGAATACTTATTTAAATGTTATATTTCAGTTATTTCTTTGTAATACATTTGCAAAAAAAAAAAAAAAACTATTATGGGAGATTGTGTGTAGATTGATGATTTTTAAAAATCATCCCTTTTAGAATAAGGCTGTAACGTAACGAAATGTGGAAAAAGTGAAGGGGTCTGAATACTTTCCGAAGGCAATCCAACATCCAATAAGATAGCAACATAGAAATTCCGGTTTTTAGTCTGTGCTCTTTTGATATAATTGATGTCTACACAACCAACCAATGCTGTAAGACGTGGATTCATCTTCTTGACTTTAGACTATTTGAGGTGATCTGACAAAAACAAAAATAAATGTTGTGGTTCAAAATGACAGAAAACAGACTTTCCTTGTAACTTGTAGTTAGATCAACTGTGTGTGTGGAATAAGAGGGTAAGGACGCATAACAAATATGACAAAATACCCTCCATTACATTATGTTTCGTCTTTGAATAAATGCAATCTACATTATGTCACGAATGTGGCTTCACAGCAAAGTTGCTTTCAGTTGTTACAAAGATAATCAGGCCACTACTTGTAGAATAGAATATCCATCCTATATTGAGTCATATAAATACAAATGTTACCCAAATCTAAACATGATTTCAAAAGCCCAAGGTTGCAGTATCACATCACTTTCCATGATGTGTTTCCTATAAATGCCCATCCTTAATGCCTTTGCATTGATTTCATGCAATGTGGGTCAAGATGGCTGCCTCGCGACTAGCTCTTAGGAAACTTTGCGGTATTTAGTTTTTTTATGTATTATCTTTTACATTTACATTATTAGCTCAGAACGTGTTTTTGTATGATTACATACAGCCGGGAAAAACTATTGGATATCAGAGCGGCGGTAACTCACCAGCGCTCTCCCCAGGGCAATTGAACTGATTCCAACGGCTGACCCAAAACATCGCCGGCGGAAGAGAGGCACTCGGAGAGGCCTGCTGGTTTGACTTAGGAGGCGCACACACCACCCACCGCTTCCAAGTATACTACTCGCTAATGTTCAGTCTTTGGATAACAAGGTCGACGAGCTCAGGGCAATGATTTCTTTCCAGAGAGACATCAAGGCCTGTAACATACTATGTTTCACGGAAACATGGCTCTCTGGGAATATTCTGTCTAAATCGGTCCAGCCAGATGGGTTCTCAGTTCATCACACAGACAGAAATAAATATCTCTCAGGGAAGCAGAAGGGCGGAGGTGTGTGTTTCATGATTAACGACTCATGGTGTAATTGTAGTAACATACAGGAACTCAAGTCCTTTTGTTCACCCGACCTAGAATACCTCACAATCAAATGCTGACCGTATTATCTCCCAAGAGAATTTTCTTCGGTTATAGTCACGGCTGTGTATATCCCCCCTCAAGCCGATACCACGACGGCCCTCAGAGAACTTCACTGGACTTTATGCAAACTGGAAACCACATATCCTGAGGCTGCATTAGTTCTAGACAGGGATTTTAACAAAGCAAATTTGAGGACTAGGCTTCCGATGTTCTATCAACATATCGACTGTTGTACTCGGGCTGCTAAAATCCTCGACCATTGCTATTCAAACTTATTGGATGGTTATACGGCCCTCCCCTGCCCTCCATTCGGTAAATCTGACCACAACTCCATTTTGCTCCTCCCTTCCTATAGGCAGAAACTCAAACAGGAAGTGCCCGTGCTAAGGACTATTCAACGCTGGTCTTACCAATCGGAATCCACGCTTCAAGACTGTTTTGATCATGTGGACTGGGATATGTTCCGGGTAGCTTGCAAAAATAATTTAGACGAATACACTGAAACGGTGACTGAGTTTATCAGGAAGTGTATAGGAGATGTTGTGCCCACTGTGACTATTAAAACCTACCCTAACCAGAAACCGTGGATAGATGGTAGCATTCGCGCAAAACTGAAAGCGCAAACCACCGCATTTAACCATGGCAAGGTGACTGGGAATATGGCACTCACTTCTGTCATCATGAAGTGCTTTGAGAGGCTAATTAAGGATCATTTTACATTTACATTTTAGTCATTAAGCAGACGTTCTTATCCAGAGCGACTTACAGTTAGTGAGTGCATACATTATTTTTTTTTAATGTATTTTTTAATTTTTTTCATATCCCTGTGGGAATCGAACCCACAACCCTGGTGTTGCAAATGCCATGCTCTACCAACTGAGCTACATCCCTGCCGGCCATTCCCTCCCCTAACCTAGACGACGCTGGGCCAATTGTGCGCCGCCCCATGGGTCTCCCGGTCGCGGCCGGCTACGACAGAGCCTGGATTCGAACCAGGATCTCTAGTGGCACAGCTAGCCTTAGACCACTGCGCCACTGTGGATCATCTCAACTCTACCTGACCTGTCACCCTAGACCCACTTCAATTTGCATACCGCCCCAATAGATCCACAGACGATGCAATCGCCATCACACTGCACACTGCCCTATCCCATATGGACAAGAGGAATACCTACGTCAGAATGCTGTTCATTGACTATAGCTCAGCCTTCAGCAACAGAGTACCCTCCAAGCTCACAAGCGTGCGTGCTCAGCCCCCTCCTGTAATCTGTTCACCCATGACTGCGTGGCCACGCACGCCTCCAACTCAATCATCAAGTTTACAGACGACACAAAAGCAGTAGGCCTGATTACCAACAATGACGAGACAGCCTACAGGGAGGAGGTGAGGGCACTGGCGGAGTGGTGCCAGGATAATAACCTCTCCCTCAATGTCAACTAAACGAAGGAGCTGATCGTGGACTTCAGGAAACAGCACATCACTGACAATCTGAAATGGTCCACCCACACAGACAGTGTGGTAAAGAAGGCATTCTGTTGGGCTTTATCACAACCTGATATGGCAACTGCACCGCCCGCAATCGCAGGGTGCGGTCTGCCCAACGCATCACTGGTGGCACACTGCCTGCCCTCCAGGACACCTACAGCACCTGATGTCACAGGAAGGCCAAAAAGATAATCAAGGACATCAACCACCCGAGCCACGGCCTGTTCACCCCGCTATCATCCAGAAGGCGAGGTCAGTACAGGTGCATCTAAGCTGGGACCGAGAGACTGAAAAACAGGCCATCAGACTGTTAAATAGCCATCACTAGCCGGCTACCACCCTGTTACTCAACCATGCACATTAGAGGTTGCTGCCCCATAGACTTGGAATCACTGGCCACTTTAATAATGGAACACTAGTCACTTTAATAATGTTTACATACTGCTTTACTCAGCTCATATGTATATACTGTATTCTATTCTACTGTATTTTAGTCAATGCCACTCCGACATTGCTCGTCCTAATATTTATATATTTCTTAATTCCATTATTTTACTTTTAGATTTGTGCGTGTTGTTGTGAATTGTTAGATACTACTGCACTGTTGGAGCTAGGAACACAAGCATTTCGCTACACCCGCAATAACATCTGCTAAATATGTATATGTGCCCAATACAATTTGATTTGATTTGATTAACTCCTAGTGATGATATCAAAACACAGAAAAACCACCTTATTTGTTAATATGTAACCATTTATTGCCCTCACGTAGTCATGGTTGTCATAGGATCACAGAGATACATCCAGGGCTGGCAGAGCTATTGATTGCTTCGGAGGAAGCTTATCATGATGCTATGTTTAGAGGAAGTATAGCTTATCACTGTAATGTCAACAGATATGCAAACGTAATTCAAGGCGAGTTATTTTTCTGATACCACCAGTTGAAAAAGAGAATAGAAAATGGCTGGGTGCAACACAGACTGCGTTGAGAAGCCTATAGCTAAGGGATTTGAAATATTTGGCCGTTTTGTTGGTAGACACCCCTGGTGTTTTTTGATTCTACCCATGTTCATCTCTGCGGGTCTTGGCGGAGGATTTTACTTCCTTGCGGACAGAGAAGCGAACGGCATTGAAGAGATGTTTACACCTGTGGATGGACCTGCCAAAGATGAACGACAAGTAGTTAAAGAATACTTTCCACAGGATGATAGCGACTTCTCTCGTTTGCGACTCTATACTGAAGGGACCTTTGCATCTCTCATCATTGTTACGCCTACAGCAAATATCCTCACAATTCCTGCTTTTACAAAAATTGTTGCTATTGATAGTGAAGTGAAAGCCATTGAAGTAGAAACATTTCATTTCTCAAACCTTTGTGTTAAGAAAGGTGGTGTGTGCGTGTCAAATTCAATCTTTGATATTGTAAAACCTCCCAATAATGTTACCACAACAACTATTAATTACCCATATCATGACAAACTTTTCATCGCATCTGAAGTCGGTGGTGTGAAACTGAAAACTGGATCAACTGAAATTGTAAGCGCAAAGGCCATTCGACTTTTTTACTTCTTAAAAGAAGACAACCAGACTGTAAATACGATGTGGCTGCAGAAGTTTATAGAGACTGCGTCGATGATGCAAAAAGAAGAAGGCGTGAGTACATACTTTTAGAGATGAAACATATTACTTTTTTTTGTCAACTTGTATAGGATGGGTGTCTTCTCACCAAGTGTAGGTCCTACAGCCTAATTGATCAAACTGCACATTAAGCTCCATTAAAACCATGTAATGTCATGATGATTTGATTATTCAAACATCTTGAGATGTTTTACTAATGTTAACTGGATATGTTCTTGTATCTGTATTCTTATTTGTCTTTGCAGATGACCATATCTTATTTCACATCAATATCAAGGGATGAAGAGTTTGAGAAGAGTTCTGACTCAATCATACCTCTCTTCTCATTGACCTATGCCCTGGCCATCACTTTTTCAATCATTTCTTGTTTGAGGTATGTTTTGTAACTTTTATATTTCAATAAGGCTCCAATGGGCCGCGACCCTCTTCCCGTGGTTATGGTTCCGGAACTGACACGCCACTCAATTTTACCATATCAATTCCAACAACATCTTGGTTCCAAACGTTGAATAGGTACAAAAATCACCAGGTTGAACCATTAATTAAAATAATTTGAAATCTCTGTAAAAAAAAAACTGTGATTTATGGGGGAAAAAGTCAAGGGTACAAGACTGTGTCCTCACCAAAGTTAGGGGGGAATAAACTGCTCATCCAGTACAGCGTTGCCACAGATAGAAACATGAGACAAGATATTTCACTGGATGTATAAATGTGAAGCATCCGGTTAGTGTTTCCGCTCACTACCAAATATGGTAGTGAGAGGAAGCCCAATGGCTAGCAGTGGGAGATGATGGAACAAGATGGACTTTGGCCGACATTCTGATAATTTACTCATCGATGAAACATTTGATCTCAATACAGTTTTCTGTTACCAAAACTACAATCTGAAATGAACAGAGTGAATTACGTTTTGTAGACTTTACCCTTTGCTAAAGTTTTACAAAATGGTGTTGTTTAGAAGGAGTGCAAAGGTGAATTGAGTTATTGCACACGCGCACTTCACAGAGTAGGCGTTCCCCAATGGAAATATGCAAATGTAGGCTAGAACGCGCTAATAGGATCTCGCTAGCTTTCAATATATATTTGAAGTGGTCAGAAAGTTACCTTTTGGACCTGTATGCCAAAACATTTAAGAGGTACAGTTGAAGTCAGAAGTTTAAATTCAAGTCATTTTTCCAACAATTGTTTACATTTATTTTACATTTTAGTCATTTTAGCAGACGCTCTTATCCAGAGCGACTTACAGTTGGTGAGTGCATACATTTTCATACTGTCCCCCCGTCGGAAACGAACCCACAAGCCTGGCGTTGCAAGCGCCATGCTCTACCAACAGAGCTACATGGGACTGAGAAGAGTTTACATACACTTAGGGTGGAGTCATTAAAACTTGTTTTTCAACCACTCCACTAATTTCTTGTTAACAAACTATAGTTTTGGCAAGTTGGTTAGGACATCTACTTTGTGCATGACACAAGTCATTTTTCCAACAATTGTTTACAGACAGATTATTTCACTTATAATTCACTGTATCACATTTCCAGTGGGTCAGAAGTTTACATACAGTAAGTTGACTGTGCCTTTAAACAGCTTGGAAAATTCCAGAAAATGATGTAATGGCTTTAGAAGCTTTTGATAGTCTAATTGACAACATTTGAGTCAATTGGAGGTGTACCTGTGGATGTATTTCAAGGCTTACCTTCAAACTCAGTACCTCTTTGCCTGACGTCATGGGAAAATCTAAAGAAATCAGCCAAGACCTCAGAAAAAAATAATTGTAGACCTCCACCAGTCTGGTTCATCCTTGGGAGCAATTTCCAAACGCCTGAAGGTACAAACAATAGTACGCAAGTATAAACACCATGGGACGACGCAGCCGTCATACCGCTCAGGAAGGAGACTCGTTCTGTCTCCTAGAGATGAACGTACTTTGGTGCGAAAAGTGCAAATCAATCCCAGAACAACAGCAAAGGACCTTGTGAAGATGCTGGATATAGGTACAACAGTATCTATATCCACAGTAAAACTAGTCCTATATCGACATAACCTGAAAGGCCGCTCATCAAGGAAGAAGCCACTGCTCCAAAACCGCCATTAAAAAGGCCAGACTACAGTTTGCAACTGCACTTCGGGACAAAGATTGTACTTTTTGGAGGAATGTCCTCTGGTCTGATGAAACAAAAATAGAACTGTTTGGCCATAATGAGCATTGTTATGTTTGAAGGAAAAAGGGGGCGGCTTGCAAGCTGAAGAACATCATCCCAACCGTGAAGCACAGGGGTGGCAGCATCATGCTGTGGGGGTGCTTTGCTGCAGGAGAGACTGGTGCTCTTCACAAAATAGATGGCATCATGAGGAAGGAAAATTATGTGGATATATTGAAGCAACATCAAGACATCAGTCAGGAAGTTAAAGCTTGGTCGCAAATGGGTCTTCCAAATGGACAATGACCCCAAGCATACTTCCAAAGTTGTGGCAAAATGGCTTAAGGACAACAAAGTCAAGGTATTGGAGTGGCCATCACAAAGCCCTGACCTCAATCCTATAGAACATTTGTGGGCAGAACTGAAAAAGCGTGGGCAAGCAAGGAGGCCTACAAACCTGATTCAGTTACACCAGCTCTGTCAGGAGGAATGGGCCAAAATTCACCCAACCTATTGTGGGAAGCTTGTGGAAGTCTACCCGAAACGTTTGACCCAAGTTAAACAATTTAAAGGCAATGCTACCAAATACTAATTGAGTGTATGTAAACTTCTGACCCACTGGGAATGTGATGAAAGAAATAAAAGCTGAAATAAATCATTCTCTCTACTATTATTCTGACATTTCACATTCTTAAAATGAAGTGGTGATCCTAACTAACCTAAGACAGGGAATCTTTACTAGGATTAAATTGTTAAAAACTGAGTTTAAATGTATTTGGCTAAGGTGTATGTAAACTTCCGATTTCAACTGTAGATGTGCGCTAAGTTGACCCATGTTGCCCACCGTACCATAAGACATCCATTCCTTCATCACTGGAAAAGATAAATGGCTGATTTTATATTATTTAAAAGCTTACATGGTTGTCAAACTATTCCAAAATGCAATATTTCCATTTTCAAAACGCTATATACCCCCCCCCCCCCCCCCCCCCCCCCCCCTCCCCCAAACAACAGAACCCCAATAGAAAAAGTATCCCGGTTGGGTTTTAAACAGTTAGGCCTATATATAAAGTATCGATACATAAATAAATATTAAAATAATCAATTTGTTTCAACTCTATTGTGCAAATATTACATAGCCGATTTATTGTACCCAGACGGTGAACAGCATATACTGTAGAAAGGTACCCATGAGCATTAATTTCAGATGAAAAATGCAAATGTAAAAAATTGGCATTTATGGCGTTTTGGAATCAAACTCTTCAGATGTTTAAAAAATATATATATTTTTATATACAAAAATATAAACGCAACAATTTCTAAGATTATACTGAGTTACAGTTCATATAAGGAAATAAGTCAATTGAAATAAGTTAATTAGACTGTAATCTATGGATTTCACATGACTGGGAATGCAGATATGCATCTGTTGGTCACAGATACCTTAGAAAAAAGGTAGGGGCGTGTATCAGAAAACCAGTTAGTATCTGGTGTTACCACCATTTGCCTCATGCATCTCCTTCACATTGAGTTGATCAGGCTGTTGATTGTGGAATGTTGTCCCACTCCTCCTCAATGGCTGTGCGAAGTTGTTGGATATTGGCGGGAACTAGAACACACTGTCGTACACATCGATCCAGAGCATCCCAAACATGCTCAATGGGTGACATGTCTGGTGAGGAAGACGAGCACGCAGATGAGCTTCCTTGAGACGGTTTCTGACAGTTTGTGCAGAAATTGTTCGGTTGTGCAAACCCAGTTTCATCAGCTGTCCGGGTGGCTGGTCCCAGACGATCCCGCAGGTGAAAAAGCCAGACATGGAGGTCCTGGGCTGGCATGGTTACACGTGTTCTGTGGTTGTGAGGTGGGTTGGACATACTGCAAAATTCTCTAAAACGACATTGGAGACGGCTTATGTTAGAGAAATTAACATTCAATTCTCTGGCAACAGCTATGTTGGACATTCCTTCAGTCAGCATGCCAATTGATCCAAGATGGCGTAGCAGTGCGGTCGTGTTCTTTGTTGTGTGTCCGTGTAAATAGCCTGTTTTTTTGTATTTTTTTGTATTTTTTGTACATATTTCCCTATCACACTTTTCATCCTTCTACTAAATATACTTTCCTGCAACCCGCCTCACTCAATGTGGAACGGATTCTATTATTTACTCACCTTTATCTAGAATCTCCAGTTGAAACTAGCCAGCCAGCTAACTAGCTAACTAGCTACTTGCTATTAGCCACCGTTAGTGGTTTTCACCCAGAACATCGGATTTTCTGCCGGAATAACTGAATCACTGGACCCTAACACCGGATCGCAACTAGCTTGCCGCAACCGAATGGATGTTGCTGTTGGCTAATCACCACTGCCCCCGAAGCAAGCACCAGTTAGCCTTGAGCTAGCCTCGAGCCAGGCCCATATCCCGGCTATCTACCTCTTTGTCTACCGGACGGGAGTAGCCAGCTAACTAGCTACTTGCTATTAGCCACCGTTAGCAGTTTTTCACCATTGTCCGTGGCCTGCACTACCTACCAGCCAGCTCTAGCCTGGACTATTATTGGCCAGTCTGCACAGTGCGTTATCGACCCAGAACATATCGGATTTTCTGCCGGAATCACTAAATCACTGGACCTTTAACACCTGATCATCGCAACTAGCTAGCTGCAACCAAATGGATGTTGTTGTTGGCTAATCAGCCTGGAGCTAGCCTCGAGTCAGGCACATCTCCCGGCTATCTACCTCTCTGTCAACCGGACGGTACCTTCTAGAGTCGACACGGAGCCCCGCCAATCCATCACGACTGGTCTGCCGACGTAATGGTCTGTGGTTTCAACAGGCTTCCCGTTGCGACGACCACGAAGATCCATCTGCTAGCCACAGCCCGCTAGCACACACAAACAACAGCCATGCTTCCTGCTCGCTGTGCTTTAGCACCAATTCGAACTGCTCTCGGACTCACATATTGCTGTTCACTGGACCTTATGATCACTCAGCTGCACAGCTGATGTCTGCTGGACTGTTCCTTTACATGGTACCCTGTCCTGTTTATTCTGTTTAGCCTCAACCCAAACTTTCATCGCCATTACCAGTTGTTGTCTTAGCTCTCTCTAATAACACCTGTGATTGCTTTATGCCTCTCTCCCATGTCAATATGCCTTGCTTATTGCTGTTCCAGTTAGTTCTTATTATACAATTTCAATATAGAACCCCAAGTCATTCTCAAACTGCCTCAAATAGCTCCTTTGTTCCACCCCCCATACACGCAGAGACCGGCTCAATCGATGCCTTCAGTGATGCTATCTCTTTCATTGTTACCCAACGCTTAGGTTTACCTCCACTGTACTCATATCCTTCCATATCCTTGTCTGTACATAATGCCCTGAATCTATTCTACAATGCCCGGAAATCTGCCCCCTTTATTCTCTGTACCCAACGCACTAGAAGACCAGTTCTTAAAGCCTTTAGCCGTATCCTTATTCTAGTCCTCCTCTGTTCCTCTGGTGATGTAGAGGCTAACCCAGGCCCTGCAGCCCCCAGTATCACTCCTACTCCCCAGGAGTTATCATTTGTTGACTTCTGTAACCGTAAAAGCCTTGGTTTTCTGCACGTTAACATCAGAAGCCTCCTTCCTAAGTTTGAGTTATTCACTGCGTTAGCACACTCCGCCAACCCTGATGTTCTAGCAGTGTCTGAATCCTGGCTTAGGAAGGCCACCAAAAATTCAGAAATGTCCATCCCCAACTACAACATTTTCCGTCTAGATAGAACTGCCAAACAGGTGGAGTTGCAATCTACTGTAGAGAGAGCCTGCAGAGCTCTATCATTCTATCCAGGTCTGTGCCCAAACAGTTTGAGCTCCTACTTCTAAAAATCCACCTTTCCAGAAATAAGTCTCTCACTGTTGCTGCTTGCTACAGACCCCCCTTAGCCCCCAGCTGTGCCCTGGACACCATATGTGAGTTCTATCCTCAGAGTTCGTACTGCTTGGTGACCTAAACTGGGATATGCTTAACACCCCAGGCCATCCTACAATCCAAACTAGATGCCCTCAATCTCACACAAATTATCAAGGAGCCTACCAGGTACAACCTTAAATCCGTAAACATGGGCACCCTCATAGATATCATCCTGACTAACTTACCCTCTAAATACACCTCCGCTGTCTTCAACCAGGATCTCAGCGATCACTGCCTTATTGCCTGCATCCGTAACGGGTCCGCGGTCAAAAGACCACCCCTCATCACTGTCAAACGCTCCCTAAAACACTTTAGCAAGCAGACATTCCTAATTGACCTGGCCCAGGTATCCTGGATGGATATCGATCTCATTCCGTCAGTAGAGGATACCTGGTTGTTCTTTAAAAGTGCTTTCCTCTCAATCTTAAATAAGCATGCCCCATTCCAAAATATTCAGAACTAAGAACTGATATAGCCCCTGGTTCTCCTCAGACTTGACTGCCCTTGACCAGCACAAAAACATCCTGTGGCGTACTGCATTAGCATCGAATAGCCCCCGCGATATGCAACTTTTCAGGGAAGTTAGGAACCAATATACACAAGCAGTTAGGAAAGCAAAGGCTAACTTTTTCAAACAGAAATTTGCATCCTGTAGCACTAACTCCAAAAAGGTTTGGGACGCCGTAAAGTCAATGGAGAATAAGAGCACCTCCTCCCAGCTGCCCACTGCACTGAGGCTAGGAAACACTATCACCACCGAATTTCAACAAGCATTTTGCTATGGCTGGCCATGCTTTCCACCTGGCTACCACTACCCCGGCCACCAGCTCTGCAACCTCCGCTGCAACTGGACCTATAGCAGTCTCTATGGGGGTGCCACAGGGTTCAATTCTTTGGGCCGACTCTTTTCTCCGTGTATATCAATGATGTCGCTCTTGCTGCTGGTGACTCTCAGATCCACCTCTACGCAGACGACACCATTTTGTATACATCTGGCCCTTCATTGGACACTGTGTTAACAAACCTCCAAACGAGCTTCAATGCCATACAACACTCCTTCCGTAGCCTCCCACTGCTCTTAAACACTAGTAAAACTAAATGCATGCTCTTCAATCGAACGCTGCTGGCACCCGCCCAGCCGACTAGAATCACTACTCTCGACGGGTCTGACCTAGAGTATGTGGACAACTACAAATACCTAGGAGTCTGGTTAGACTGTAAACTCTCCTTCCAGACTCACATTAAGCATCTCCAATCCAAAGTTAAATCTAGAATCAGCTTCCTATTTCGCAACAAAGCCTCCTTCACTCATGCTGCCAAACATACCCTCGTAAAACTGACTATCCTACCGATCCTTGACTTCGGCGATGTCATTTACAAAATAGCCTCCAACACTCTACTCAGCAAATTGGATGTAGTCTATCACAGTGCCATCCATTTTGTCACCAAAGCCCCATATACTACCCACCACTGTGACCTGTACACTCTTGTTGGCTGGTCCTCACTACATATTCGTCGCCAAACCCACTGGCTCCAGGCCATCTATAAATCATTGCTAGGCAAATCTCTGCCTTATCTTAGCTCATTGGTCACCATAGCAACACCCACCCGTAGAATGCGCTCCAGCAGGTATATCTCACTGGTCATCCCCAAAGCCAACACCTCCTTTGGCCGCCATTCCTTCCAGTTCTCTGCTGCCAATGACTGGAACGAACTGCAAAAATCTCTGAAGCTGGAGACTCTTATCTCCCTCACTAACTTTAAGCATCAGTTGTCAGAGCAGCTTACCGATCACTGCACCTGTACACAGCCCTTCTGAAATTAGCCCCCTCAACTACCTCATCCCCATATTGTTATTTATTTTGCTAATTTGCACCCCAGTATCTCTATTTGCACATCATCTCTTGCACATCTATCATTCCAGTGTTAATACTAATTGTAATTATTTGGCACTACGGCCTATTTATTGCCTTACCTCCATAACTTGCTACATTCGCACACATGGTATATATATTTTCTGTGGTATTTTTGACTTTATGATTTGTTTTACCCCATATGTAACTGTGTTGTTGTTTTTAATCGCACTGCTTTGCTTTATCTTGGCCAGGTCGCAGTTGTAAATGAGAACTTGTTCTCAACTGGCTTACCTGGTTAAATAAAGGTGAAATAAAATAAAACAATTAAAATTGCACGCTCCTTCAAAACTTGAGACATCTGTGGCATTGTGTTGTGTGAAAAAACTGCACATTTTAGTGGCCTTTTATTGTCCCCAGCACAAGGTGCACCTGTGTAATGATCATGCTGTTTAATCAGCTTCTTAATATTCCACACCTGTCAGGTGGATGGATTATCTTGGAAAAGGGAGAAATGCTCATTGACAGGGATACAAACAAATTTGTGCACACAATTTGAGAGAAATACGCTTTTTGCTGCTATCTTTTATTTCAGCTCATGAAACATGGGACCAACACTTTACATGTTGCGTTTTAATATTTTTGTTCAGTATATATCGAAAGTTACGTTCAAATCAAAATGGGCACGGTCAAAAGTGATTCAAATCAAATGGAACGACCCACCAGGAACTGACAGTAAAAACACGACTTCACAACACAGAGGTTGAAACATTCAGTACTGAAGGGCACTATCTCACTCAACGTCTACGTTGCACAGTAATATCGCTATTACTAATATTTAATATCTATATGAGGATTGAGAATCCAGTTCCAGAACCAGAACCACTCGATGGATCCCTATACAATTCAACATCATCAGTCAACATAGGTCAGCTCAATTTGAAAATCATAATAACAGATCAGTCGAATCCACATTGTGACTGCATTACCGTTTTTAAAGGCACTACTTATACTGGGACTAATGTTGTGTTTTTCTAGGTTGGACTGTGTGAGGAATAAGGTGTGGGTGGCAACCTTTGGTGTCCTCTCAGCTGGTATGGCAGTGCTGTCCAGTTTTGGGTTGTTGCTGTACTGTGGCATGCCCTTCGCTATGACTGTGGCAACAGCTCCGTTCCTGATTCTGGGTAAGCTTACAAACTCTCATTATGATACAATAAACCAATGCAACTGACATCCTGTTTAGACCTGATATGAAATGTACTCGGATTGTGATCTTAACAGATGTGATCACAGGAATGAACACAGGTACAGTTCCTTCGGAAAGTATTCAGACCTTGACTTTTTCCACATTTTGTTACGTCACAGCCTTATTCTAAAATGGATTCAATTGGGTTTTTTTTACTCATCAATCTGCACACAATACCCCATAATGACAGTACATTTTAGACATTTTTGCAAATAAACATATCACATTTACATAAGTATTCAGACCCTTTACTCAGTACTTTTCTGAAGCACCTTTGGCAGCGATTACAGCCTCAAGTCTTCATGGGTATGACGCTACAAGCTTGGCACACCTGTATTTGAGGAGTTTCTCCCATTTTTCTCTGCAGATCCTCTCAAACTCTGTCAGGTTGGATGGGGAGTGTCGCTGCACAGCTATTTTCAGGTCTCTCAAGAGATGTTCCATTGGGTTCAAGTCCGGGCTCTGGCTGGGCCACTCAAGGACATTCATAGACTTGTCCCGAAGCCACTCCTGTGTTGTCTTGGCTGTGTGCTTAGGGTCGTTGTCCTGTTGGAAGGTGAACTTTCGCCCCAGTCTGAGGTCCTGAGCCCTCTGGAGCAGGTTTTCATCAAGGATCTCTCTGTACTTTGCTCCATTCATATTTCCCTTCATCCTGACTTGTCTCCCAGTCCCTGCCGCTGAAAAACAGCTCCACAGCATGATGCTGCCTCCACCATGCTTCACCGTAGGGATGGTATTGGCCAGGTGATGAGCGGTGCCTGGTTTTCTCCAGACGTGATGCTTGGCATTCAGGGCAAAGAGTTAAATCTTGGTTTAATCAGACTAGAGAATCTTGTTTCTCATGGTCTGAGAGTCCTTTAGGTGCCTTTTGGCAAACTCCAAGCGGGCTGTTGTGTGCCTTTTATTGAGGAGTGGCTTCCGTCTGGCCACTCTACCATAAAGGCCCGATTGGTGGAGTGCTGCAGAGATGGTTGTCCTTCAGGAAGGTTTTTCCATCTCCAAAGAGGAACTCTACAGCTCTGTCAGAGTGACCATCGGGTTCTTGGTCACCTCCCTGACCAAGGCCCTTCTCCCCCGATTGCTCAGTTTGGCCGGGCGGCCAGCTCTAGGAAGAGTCTTGGTGGTTCTAAATGTCTTCCATTTAAGAATGGAGGCCACTGTGTTCTTGGGGACCTTCAATGCTGCAGACATTTTTTGGTACCCTACCCCAGATCTGTGCCTCAACACAATCCTGTCTCTGAGCTCTACGGACAATTTCTTCGACCATCTGAGCTCAATTTTGAATCTCATAGCAAAGGGTCTGAATACTTATGTAAATAAGGCTATAACGTAACAAAATGTGGAAAGAGTGAAGGGGTCTGAATACTTTCCGAATGTGCTGTATAAACAAGATCTGACATTTTGTAAAACAGTGCCTTTTCTCCACAGGAATTGGTGTTGACGACATGTTCATCATGATTTCTTGCTGGCAGAAGACTCAAGTTCACGATGACGTAGAGGATCGTATGGCAGCTACATACAAAGAGGCAGCTGTTTCTATCACCATCACAACACTAACTGATGCCCTGGCTTTCTATATTGGTCTGTTAACTCCCTTTGGTTCTGTACAGTCCTTTTGTATGTATACTGGCACAGCTGTCCTGTTCTGCTACTTGTACAACATCACCTTCTTTGGTGCATTTCTGTCACTGAATGGAAGACGTGAAAAGGGCAACAGACATTGGCTGACCTGCACGAAGGTTCCAGAACCAGAGGAGAATTCTGAAAAGTACAATATCTGCTGTGTAGGGGGAGCTTATGATCATGAAACGGGAGAAGAGGAACCAATGCCAATTAACAACTTCTTTAAGATGTACTATGGTCCATTTCTAACAAATACTTGGACCAAGGGGTTTGTGATCCTGCTCTATGCTGGATATTTGGCCTCAAGCATCTATGGTTGCTTCCAAATCAAAGAGGGCATAGACCTTAAAAACCTAGCAGCTGATAGCTCATATGTGGGTAGCTATTATGATAATGACGACGAATTCTTTTCAGAGTATGGCCCAAATGTTATGGTTGTTGTGACAGATCGTGAGTTTAAATATTGGGACGAAAGTGCTCGGAATAGTCTTTACTCCTGCCTCCAAAACCTTGAAGGTCTACCAATGGTTTCTCCAAACATGACCATATCTTGGCTCAATGAATATCTTACGTTTGGAAAGCTGACCAATTTGAATCTAAGTGAGGAAAATACATTCAAAAGTAATTTGTCTGCATTTCTCGAGAGGTCTGATTTCGTACATGATGTGAATTTTACAGATAACATATTATATGCGTCACGTACGTTCATTCAGACGGTCAATGTCAGTACAGCTGTTGATGAAAAGAACATGTTGAATGAACTTCGAGAGACGGCTAATGATTGTTTGACAGTAAAGTTGATTGTTTACCACCCAGCTTTCATATACTTTGACCAGTATGCAGTCATTGTTAGTAATACCATCCAAAACATTGTAGTTGCCACTCTTGCCATGCTGGTCATCTCCCTCATGTTGATTCCCAACCCCATATGTTCTCTGTGGGTGACCTTTGCCATTGCCTCTGTCATAGTGGGTGTTGCTGGTTTCATGGCATTTTGGCATGTCAATCTAGACTCTGTATCCATGATCAATCTTGTCATCTGCATCGGTTTCTCCGTGGACTTTTCCGCTCACATTTCCTATGCCTTTGTCTCTAGCGATAAGAGAACCGCTAATGAGAAGGCTGTAGACGCTGTCTATCACTTGGGGTATCCCATCTTACAGGGAGCTGTGTCTACTATTTTAGGAGTGGTGGTGCTGTCTGCAGCTGAGAGCTACATCTTCAGAACCTTCTTTAAGATCATGTTCTTGGTCATTTCGTTTGGGGTACTTCACGGCATCGTGTTCATCCCTGTTTTTTTGTCCTTCTTTGGAATCTGCGGCGCTAAAGCTGCCGATGAAAAAGACGACCCTCCTTATAATCCCTATCAATCGAAACGGAAAAAGAATGATAATATTGCCTGTGAAAGCCATTTGTGACTGCCCTTAAAACTGCTGAGCTGGGTGGTCATGTTAACTATTGAGAACGCTAAGCACTACCCCACCCCAGCTGCAGGATTTGCACCTGTTTTCTAATGATAGCTATCAGACATAGAACGTAGAAAACATGTCAAATAAAAGTTCATGAGATAGGACAGGACATTATGGTAAAGTGTACATTAAGACATTTTAATATTGATTGTGGTGTTTTATCCCCTATTGGAAGAAAATAAAACACATTGTGTATGAACGCTTAGTAAATATGATTTGACAATGACTTGACAATGACAAATTGGATTACATTTGATTCATAGTTGTAATATGTAGGAATCTATAGAATAAGAATGTCTAAATTATTCTAAAAAGCACACAAACACAGGAGGTTATAGGTTATAGGTTATAGGTTACAGGTTATAGGTAACACATTCTGTTTTGTTATTGAGTTTGTGTCATTGATAAAAGAAATGTGTGAGTAAGATATGACAAATGTTACACCCTCAGTTAAACTAATAATGTGTGGCTAATTAGTATACTAGAGCTTAGAGAGTTAATCAAATGGGTTTATATCCCAGCAACAGAGTATAGACTGGTTCCCAAAACATACAGGGAGGGGGAGTGGAAGGCTTGCAGGATATTGTGAGAATGTGATAACTGAAGGTTGCAGCCTGCCTGAGCAAGGAGTAGGAAAAGATAAGAACAGTGTGTGTGTGTGACATGATGGTCAGGAGAGCAGTTTTCCAGTGGAAAACTACAGCCCGCCTAAAGAGGGGAGGGATTCTCTGACGTGTGCATATAAAAAATATTGTACGACCATTTTGTTTTAGAACGTTCTCAATGAATAAAGCCTGATGATTGCATGCTGGGCTGCTTGGTCTGATTATTAGAGATTTACAACCTCTGGGATACAGACTGAGTAATACGTTCATTTTTTAAAACATTGGGATAGAAATTCTCATAACAGTCATGCATTGCAAAGGTTAAAAAAAAAAAAAAAAATTTGTGAGATTTCATATTTCATTTTGTATTTAGTCCATATTAAATTTCACTCTATCGAACTGTGTAATGTTTTTTTCTTCTTCTGTGGAGTCTATTTTTTAACAATGTTTAGAAATTTGGTTTGTGTCTTATAAAAGGCACGAGAAGGAAATCTTAATTTGATGTTTATCCTTTTACTACATCTTTTTATTACTCTGTTTATTTATTTATTAATTTATATTTATGCTCTGTTGAAGATCTGGATGGAAGATTAAGGGCTCTATTCAATCCGTATCGCAGTTGAAATTGAAATTTAACACTAGAAAAGTCATTTTGACTCAAATATTCTAACACAAATACATTTCATATATGCTAATGGTAAAAATATTCATTTGGCTTTGTTTATGAAGGTATTGGGTAACGTTAGATTATGAGAAAAAAAAACAGATAGTGAGTTTAAATATTGGGAAGAAAGTGCTCGGAATAGTCTTTACTCCTGCCTCCAAAACTTTGACGGTCTATCAATGGTTTCTCAAAACATGACCATATCTTGGCTCAATGAATATCTTACATTTGGAAAGCTGACCAATTTGAATCCAAGTAATTTGAATGCACTTCTTGATAAGGTCTGATTTCATACATGATGTGTCTAATAAATACATTTCATATATGCTATTGGAAAAATAATCATTTGGCTTTGTTTATGAAGGTCTTGGGTAAAAACTTTTTTTTTTTAAAGGAACACAATACCTTTTTCATGTTACTGCTACCTTTTCATGCTGCCTTTTGCAGTTTACTCAAATGCATGGAACAGTGGTTATTCTTGGAAAAGGTTATATTCTGAAATAGAGATTAGATAGATTTTAGAATTGTTTAGTTATTTGTTAATGGTCAGGGAAGCCTCAGAATCTGCTCTTTCTGGTACTATATAGAAATCAAAAACACCCTACCTGCATCTGGCAATGGTAATGGTTAGGGAAGCCTCGGAGTCTCCTCTTTCTGGTACTATATAGAAATCAAAAACATCTGCATCTGACTCTGTTGGAGGATTTGAAAAAGCAACTTTTTGACTCTCCTGGGGGAAAAATGACATGTCCTCTTAAAACTGCTTATAAGACAAATTTGTGATATCGAAAATCTTACAACACACGTGTGTTAAATACATTTATTTAGGAAAAGTAAAAGGACGGAGTAATACGATACAGGAATCAACAATACAGATTGAATAGAGTCTTTAGTAAAAAATGATGACTAAACTGTTGATTGTAACTATTTAATTGTTAACTGTTAATTGTTAATATTTGATGTGCAAATTACGTTACTATGCTATTCTAATTACGTTACTATGCTATTCTAATTACGTTACTATGCTATTGTAATTAAGTTACTATGCTATTCTAATTACGTTACTATGCTATTCTAATTACGTTACTATGCTATTATAATTACGTTACTATGCTATTCTAATTACGTTATTATGCTATTATAATTACGTTACTATGCTATTATAATTACGTTACTATGGCCCTCACTACATATTCGTCGCCAAACTCACTGGCTCCAGGTCATCTATAAATCACTGCTAGGCAAATCCCCGTCTTAGCTTAGCTCACTGGTCACCATAGCAACACCCACCCGTAGTCTGCACTCCAGCAGGTATATCTCACTGGTCATCCCCAAAGCCAACACCTCCATTGGCCGCCATTCCTTCCAGTTCTCTGCTGCCAATGACTGGAACGAACTGCAAAAGTCTCTGAAGCTGGAGACTCTTATCTCCCTCACTAACTTTAAGCATCAGTTGTCAGAGCAGCTTACCGATCACTGCACCTGTACACAGCCCATCTGTAATTAGCCCACCCAACTACCTCATCCCCATATTGTTATTATTTTGCTAATTTGCACCCCAGTATCTCTATTTGCACATCATCTTTTGCACATCTATCATTCCAGTGTTAATACGAAATTGTAACTATTTTGCACTATGGCCTATTTATTGCCTTACCTCCATAACTTACTACATTCGCACACACTGTATATATATTTTCTGTTTGTATTTTTGACTTTATGTTTTGTTTTACCCCATATGTAACTCTGTGTTGTTGTTTTTAATCGCACTGCTTTGCTTTATCTTGGCCAGGTCGCAGTTGTAAATGAGAACTTGTTCTCAACTGGCTTACCTGGTTAAATAAAGGTGAGAAAAAAAAATAATAATAATAATTACGTTATTATGCTATTATAATTACGTTATTATATTTTTATTTGTTATGTAGAATACTAATGAATCATCATGTGATCTTCCAAGACATTGATTCAGCTTTGATCTAACTTTACTAAATTAGTACTATTGTGACGCTCTGGTGCACTCTGGCAGCACTACACCCCTGCAGTCCTCTCCACCGAACGAGCGCCTACTTGTTTGCCTCATGCAAAATTGAATAATGCAGAAACGAGAGGCCACATGTGTGGCTGTTTTATGAAAATCTGGGAATATTTGGCCATAGAAACATTTCTGTCTGGTCTCAGGGAATGTAAAACCATTTTAAAAAACTAGATTGAAGTAGCAGCAAATATGTTGAAGGAGCAACTAATGAGCACGGAGAGTGATGTGATGTTTTTAATAGTATAATGATGTCATGTCATAGTATCGTGGGGAACAGGTTTGAGTTACTAGATAAGTGGTGAGGAGACAGAAAGTCTACATTCCATTATGTCAAAGGTTGATTAGTGATGTTTAGGAGAGCATGAGTGATGTTTAGGATACTGACTTGGGGTAAAGAGTGATGAACGTCAAAGACAGGGAGCGCCCACGGAGACTTAATAGATGTATGCCAGGAAGAGGGTAACAGAGGGTATATAAGGTAGAGTGTTTTTCTTTGTTCAAGTTTTGAACTTGTTATCAGTATAAAAGACGCCTGTCCACAACCTCAAACAGTCACACTCCAAACTCCACTATGGCCAAGACCAAAGAGCTGTCAAAGGACACCAGAAACAAAATTGTAGACCTGCACCAGGCTGGGAAGACTGAATCTGCAATAGGTAAGCAGCTTGGTTTGAAGAAATCAACTGTGGGAGCAATTATTAGGAAATGGAAGACATACAAGACCACTGATAATCTCCCTCGATCTGGGGCTCCACGCAAGATCTCACCCTGTGGGGTCAAAATGATCACAAGAACGGTGAGCAAAAATCCCAGAACCACACAGGGGGACCTAGTGAATGACCTGCAGAGAGCTGGGACCAAAGTAACAAAGCCTACCATCAGTAACACACTACGCCGCCAGGGACTCAAATCCTGCATTGCCAGACGTGTCCCCCTGCTTAAGCCAGTACATGTCTAGGCCCGTCTGAAGTTTGCTAGAGTGCATTTGGATGATCCAGAAGAGGATTGGGAGAATGTCATATGGTCAGATGAATCCAAAATATAGCTTTTTGGTAAAAACTCAACTCGTCGTGTTTGGAGGACAAAGAATGCTGAGTTGCATCCAAAGAACACCATACCTACTGTGAAGCATGGGGGTGGAAACATCATGTTTTGGGGCTGTTTTTCTGCAAAGGCACCAGGACGACTGATCCGTGTAAAGGAAAGAATGAATGGGGCCATGTATCGTGAGATTTTGAGTGAAAACCTCCTTCCATCAGCAAGGGCATTGAAGATGAAACATGGCTGGGTCTTTCAGCATGACAATGATCCCAAACACACCGCCCGGGCAACGAAGGAATGGCTTCGTAAGAAGCATTTCAAGGTCCTGGAGTGGCCTAGCCAGTCTCCAGATCTCAACCCCATAGAAAATCTTTGGAGGGAGTTGAAAGTCCATGTTGCCCAGCGACAACCCCAAAACATCACTGCTCTAGAGGAGATCTGCATGGAGGAATGGGCCAAAATACCAGCAACAGTGTTCGTAAACACCAAGGGGGCAAAGCTCTGGTCATTGTTGTAACGAACCCGGTACCGATCATTAAACATTTGCATTAACTGTCTACAAAGTGTCTCAGTATATCCTTGCATCCTTGATTATTTGACACCC